TGATAAAAAACAAACATGTATTCAATAAATGCTATATTTCATAAACATTTGACTTCATAATTCCATTAAGACACATTTTCAAAATGTTTCCTCAAAATCAGTCAGTTTTAAGGCTAACAAAGGAATCAGACAATCATTTCAAATCACTGTTGTGCAACAGGTTCATAATGTGAAGCTACCAGTATAATTTACTTCAAACTGAGCCAGTACTAAACAGTAAAACCACCACTGCCGCTGGAGCGGTTTGTCAAAAAGTAACAAAAATACTTTAAAATAGTTCAAATAAATCCAACCCAACATGTCCTTTAATTACTGAATGCATGGCCTTTTATTCTGCTTACTTATTGAGTAACTTTGTTAGTGTATTACAAAGATACATGGTTGAGAAGTTCCTACTGACCAGGTGAGACACTAGTCTGATCGATCAGCTCTATGGAGTGTTGCATTGTAAGAGCTCTGGTTGTTGCTGCGGCGTTAAAACAGCTACTAACACGCCCAACAGTACTTTCAAACAAAAAGGCAACGCACCGTCGAGTAGACGATTGAATACTTTCAAATGTCTCCGATTGTAGATCTCACCAAGTTGTAGCAGCAACAGCAGCTTGACGCAGCAAGCAAGGGGTGGTCCGGTCCGGTCCGGTCCCAACGGACAGAACCATCGCTCGGTCCGAATCCGGACCAACCGAGTGACCTCTGGCTCAAAGCGTACCTGCAGCCAGACTGCTTGTGTCACTGCAGCACGATATGTTCCCACACCAAAAATATATATATGTACCGGAACTGGAAGTACACAGCTCGCGTTCGACGCGCCCCCGAGCAGTGATGTCTGCGCCCAGAATCTTCCCGTCTCTTGTAATGTCACAGAATAACTGCGCATGCGCCATTTTTAACGAGTCTATGGATTAGATTCTTGCGCCTCGAGGGCCAGAAATACGTCACCAATCAGACAACGGTTTTTGAAACAAACAGTGAATCATCATTACCTATAAAATATTTATCCTACACAACAAAAAAATGTGTACATATTTCAAAATATTTTTATTTTATTATTTCATTCTTATTAAATTTTTGAAGTCTTCAATGTAAAATGGTTCCAGTGGTTCCAGTGGTTCCAGCCGGTGGGCGGCGCCCTCTACTGGCCAGCCGCCCCTGCTTCTCTGCATTCCAGGTGCAAACGGTTAAAGTTGGCCTTGTGAAAACATTTTCTTGTATTTTAATTTACCGTCCTCCAGGTGGGGCCCGTGTGTTTTTGTCTGAACTCAGCAAGTTTCTGTCACCCATCATTAAACCAGGTTCTGGTTGTCAGCAGCAAACTGGTGGATCCACTCTGAGAAGGTGCTATTTATAAGACTGAGCTGAATACAGCACCTCACACTCAGGAAGTCTCTCAGATGAAACGTTTCTACAAATTTTTTTTTTATTTTTGAATGTCCAGAGGACCAGATTGAACTTTTTTAGATGTTTCTACCTGGATTATTGAGCAGCATCAGGATGAATTGATCAACTCTTTAAATGAGATGCGTAAAAATGCTCGACTCAATTATTTTGCAAACCTTATTAAATTAAAAGGAAAAAAATTCTAAAATCCAATTGAACACAATTAAAAGAACATTGTTCCGCCATCTCCCCCTTCTACAAGTGCTTTTACTAACACAGACTGCAGCCTCTTCAGGACCTCCATCTCCTCTTCCTTCTTTTACCGCGGTGTCGCTACAAGACATCACAGCACTGCTGGGTCGAATGGAAGGTCATCGAGCCCACTCCATGTCCTCCCTGCATCTTTTTTCATGACCGTGTTCGACTGTATTGACCCCAGTGTTCTTCATCTCATGAACCTCTCCATTTCTTCTGGCTCTGTGCCATGTCTGTTCAAAGAAGCTGTTGTCTGCCCACTACTAAAGAAGCCACATCTGGATCTGGAGCTGGACCAAAATTATTATCTCGATATGTTAAGATAAATCGCGATATACGATACATATCTATATATTGTTTCTTTCCTTAAAGTAATAAAAAACATATATTTCAGAGTCAAAGCTTTGTCCCAGTTGTCACACAGACACATTTATTAACAACAGCTGTAACTGTACAAAATAAATGTATAAAAAATAAACTATTTACATATATTAAAGTTTGTGTTTTAGACATTTACATATATTAAATAATAATCCTCTTCAGTTGGGGCTGAAAAGGCTAGAGCAGTTGTCTTCCAATGGGAGAGTTTGGGGTTTAATTCCACCAGTAGTCACATGCTGAAGTGTCCCTGAGCAAGACACTGAACCCCTCATTGCCTCTGATTTGTGTCCCATCAGTGTCTGAATGTGATACAGCTCTGATTATTCTTTTGTAGAGATCTAAGGGTGCATGAATGAGTAAATAAGGCACAGATTGTTGTAAAGAGCTTTGAGTATCTTGATCAGATAGAAAGGAGCTGTATAAGTACAGTCCATTCAGCTGCGCTGCCTACATGTGTGAAGCTGCAGCTGCAGGTCCGACTGTGTTTTCAGCCTCCTTCCCTGAAACAAACCACGGGTCAGAACTCATTTAGCCGTGCTGTGCCTTATGAGAGGAACAGAGAGGTGGCAATGTTAATAAATCAGCAGTTTTTTATATCACCAACACAGTTCCAGTCTCAGCAGTCGGACCTGCAGCTGCAGCTTCACACAGGCTTATGCTCCACTCCGATGTTTTAAATGGTGAAAAACATTCATAGTTCTGACCTTTTGTCGGGACTGTTTTCAGCATTGTCTACAGAAATCATCTTTCTGCCCCTCATCTGACAGTTTAAATCCAAACCATCTCTGAAAGAACAGTCATTTTTCTTTTTGTTCAGCAGATAAGCTGCTGTGTTTCTCCCGTCTTTACCTGTTGTAAATGTCTCCTCTCCCACCCGCCCACCTCCTGGAGAAGCAGGAAGGAGGGGAGCGCGGCTGAGGGCTGTGTGTTTGTGTTCAAGGAGGGAGAGACGGCAGGAGGATTTCCAAGTGTAAAACTATTGTTTTATATCTATGTAGTCAACTTATATCGCAAATATATATATATATATATATATATATATATATATATATATATATATATATATATATATATGTGTGTGTGTGTTTTTAAAATATCGATATATCACCCAGCTCTATCTGGATCCTTCTCTCCTGACAGCTATAGACCCACCTCAAAGCTACCATTATTATCAAAAACCTTGAGAAGGCTGTAGCAGAACAACTGAACCGCTTTTTGGAGGACATGGGTCTCATGGATAACTTTCAATCTGGTTTTCGTAAATGGCACTCTACAGAGACAGCGTTATTAAACATTTCAGGTGACACGCCGATGGCAGCGGGCTCCGGTCACTATTCTGTGCTACTTAACATCAGCCTTTGACACGGTGGCTCAGACCGTTCTTATTAACACACTGAGAGACTTGTTTGGCATCTCTGGCACTCTGTTAAACTGGTTCACCTCTTACTTATCTGAAAGGTCTTTTTCTGTTTTATGAACCAGGTTTATTCAGATAGTGCACCACTGTCTTGTGGGGTACCCCAAGGTTCAGTCTTGGGCCTAATCCTCTTTTTATTGTATTTATATCCTTTGGGGGTTATCCTAAAACACTATAAAAATTGTCTTATCATCTGTATGCTGATAACATTCAGTTGTATTATCCTGATGCATGCTCAATAATAAGTGAATAATAATAATAAGTGAAAAGAAACCGTCCATCATTAAACAGGGGCGGAGCCTCCAGGTTCAACTGTCCCCCTCTTACAATGCTGTGATTGCTAGTATCACTCAGCCCTCTGTGAACAGTAAACAGCCATCAGGTGCTAATGACCCATTGTTAGGCTGATGGTCCTTCTTGAACATGTGATCAACTGGTTCTGGTTGTCAGCAGCAAACTGGTTGATCCACTCTGAGAAGGTGCTATTTAAGAGACTGAGCTGAATACAGCTCCTCAGAATGAGGAAGTCCTCAGGATGAGAGACGAAACATTTCTATATTGTTTTGCTTTGTTTTTTTTTTGTTGTTTTTTTTTTTTTGAATGTCCAGAGGACCAGACTGAACTTTTTTGGATTCAGTTGTATTGCTCTTTTCAACCTTCTGACATGTACAAACTGTCTGATCTCAACAACTGTCTGTCTGAAATTAAATTATGGCTGGAAAACAACTATCTGTAGTTAAATGCAAATAAGACTGAAACTCATTATTTCCCCTGACAATAAGATTCCTTTAATTCAAGGTTCAAGATTCTTTAGTCATTCGCACCTCATGTGGTACATGTGGTGGAGTGAAATTATGTCCACAGGGTCCCAGTTACATCCAACAATAAAATGTATAAGAAAAACAGTAATAACATCTAAGATATGAACTAAGAAAAACATCAACTAAATATACACTAAGCACTCATAACATAAAACATTGAACATCAGCACAAACATGAACATGAGTCTGTGAGCAGATGTGCACGCATGAACACATCAACATTGAAACAGATCAGCAGCAACATGAAACAGATCAGCAGCAACATGAAACAGATTAGCAGCAGCAACATGAAACAGATCAGCAGCAACATGAAACAGATCAGCAGCAGCATGAAACAGATCAGCAGCAGCATGAAACAGATGAGCAGCAACATGAAACAGATCAGCAGCAGCATGAAACAGTTCAGCAGCAGCATGAAACGGATCAGCAGCAACATGAAACAGATTAGCAGCAGTAACATGAAACAGATCAGCAGCAACATGAAACAGATCAGCAGCAGCATGAAACAGATCAGCAGCAGCATGAAACAGATCAGCAGCAACATGAAACAGATCAGCAGCAACATGATATGATTTTTCACAGTGATTATTCTGGTTAGAGATTCATGAGTCTAACAGCCTCAGGGTAGAAGCTGTTCCTCAGTCTAGTGGTTCTACACTTAATGCTCCTCAACCTCCTTCCTGAGAGGAGCCAGCTGGTGGATGATGTTTTCAGCTGATGTTCAGTGGTTCTCCTTGTTTTATTTATAGTTTTAAAGACGCCATCTTGTTTGCTAAAAGCCACTCCTTTGACGTGTTTTTGGCGGTGGGTGGGGGCTCTGTGATTGACACCTGTAAAGCAGCCAATCTGTATGCCTGTCACCCTGACGCCGACTTTCTGGACTTCGTCAACGCTCCAATCGGAAAAGGCCGGCCAGTAACGGAGGCGCTGAAGCCTCTCATTGCAGGTATGTCATGGATCTTCATCTTCAGCTGTTTGCTTTTATTGTTCTCAACTGGCTTGCTTCTGGTTCCAGTTCCCACGACTGCAGGTACCGGCAGCGAGACCACCGGAGTCGCTATCTTTGACTACGAACCTTTAAAGGCTAAAACAGGTGAGTACCATTGATCTGCACTTCCTGTGGACATTTCACAATAAAAGCCTTTGTAGTGTATAGGGCTTCTGTCATATTTTCGGTATTTATTTATTTACTCAGGTCTCTCTTGTAACCTGTCTAAATAAAGGTTAAATGAATGAAAAATTTAATGATTCTGACATTCAAAAAACAAGAAAAGAAAAACAAAAAACAAGACAAAGCAAAAAATTGTAGAAACGTTTTGTCTTCCATCCGAAGGACTTCCTCAGTCTGAGGAGCTGTATTCAGCTCAGTCTCTTAAATAGCACCTTCTCAGAGTGGATCAACCAGTTTTGCTGCTGACAACCAGAACCAGCTGATCACATGCTCAAGAAGGACCATCAGCCTAACAATTGTCAGCAGCAAACTGGTTGATCCACTCTGAGAAGGTGCTATTTAAGAGACTGAGCTGAAAACAGCACCTCAGACTGAGGAAGTCCTTTGGATGAGAGACGAAACGTTTCTACATTTTTTTTGCTTTGTTTGTTTGTTTTCTTGTTTTTTGAATGTCCAGAGGACCAGATTGAACTTTTTTGGATTTTTCTACCTGGATTATTGAGCATGTATCAGGAAACTTTGAATATTTTCAGACAACATATAATTTTAGGATGTGATCATTGAAGCTCTCAGGTGAGTCCTCGCTACTCATCAGCACCGCATTGGCGCTACCTGAGCTGTGGAGCCTCAGCCACCTGCCATGGCGGACAGAGTCCCTGACAAGGCAGAGAACAAGTTTCCAAAGGCTGAAGGGATCTAAAGTCTGGAGGAGCTGAAGCTCAAAGGCTGGTCTCTCTACAGGTTTCTGAAGTGTTCCTATGGCAGGTCTGACTGCTGTTCGAATCAGTGTTCTTGTTGTGGTGTTCCACAGTGGTTCAGAGGTTTGTGAATACGCACTTTCGGGCGTTTGGATCCATCCTGACTTGTGGTGGAACCAGATGTTCCAGGTGTTCTTCAGGTTCTTCATAGACCCTACAACTGTCCCCATGAGTGTAAATGAGACGATGTTGTTTTTCATTATCAGAACCACCATCTGTATTGGGCTGAGCTGGGACTGGTTTTGTTTGTTCAGGTATCGCCAGCAGAGCCATCAAACCCACCCTGGGCATTGTGGACCCAGAACACACCCTGAGCATGCCTGAGCGTGTGGCCGCTAACAGTGGCTTCGATGTCCTCTGGTTTGTTCTGTTTACACTTGGATCAGCTGTTACCATGGAAACTGTTATTGACACTAGTCACGTTCCACTTGTTTTGTGCTGGCCAGCCACGCCCTGGAGTCGTACACTGCCCTGCCCTACGACCAGAGGGCGCCATGTCCCTCCAACCCCATCAACCGCCCTGCATACCAGGGCAGCAACCCCATCAGTGACGTCTGGTCCCGCCACGCCCTTCACATGGTCGCAAAGTACCTGAAACGGTAAATAAACACCTGGTTTACAGGTAGGTGGGTCAGTACCAGAGCCTGGTCTGGCCTGTCTTGGAGCTCTGAAGACCAGCTGAAATGAGCCTGAAATATTTCTAACCATTTATTTGGAGACAAGGACTTTACTGACACTTACAAACTTTACTAATAATTAATGAAAAGTTTAGTGACAACGAAAACTTTACTGACACTAATGAAAACTTTACTGATACAAACTTTACTGACATTAAACAAAATCTTTACTGACAACGAAAATTTTACAGACACTTACAAACTTTACTGACACTTAATGAAAACTTTACTGACGAAAACTTTACAGACACAAACTTTACTGACAC